TGCAGTTTCTTCCACTTACTTACTTTGTCTGCAACTGAAGCAAGTCCGATAAAGGATTCCAGACGTCCCTTACCATGACAGTGGGTCCTTTGGCGCCATGACCCGGCTTCTGATGGTTGCCTCCGGTCTGCGTGCAACTCCAACTCCGAGTGCTGCTAGAGGGCTGCTAATGACCTCCGATACGTTCTTGACGTACGGAAAGGTTCGTCAAAATCTAGGGTCGGTGTGATGTGACCTCTCGTCTAATTTTTGTATGCATCGGTCGACGAAGTTGCACGGGTAATCATTTTCTCTGAAAACACGGTGAGGATATTGGAATTCGGCAACCTTGTCTTCCGGTACACGGCAGTGTATCTCAACACACCGATATAGCGTCCTTACGCAACTGCGTTTGCGGCTGATTGGGTGGTTGCTGATGAAGTTCAGTACTTGCGTTGTGTTCGTCGCTTTCCTAACCACTTTGGTCTTTAGGCCACCACAGACATTGCGGCAGACGAGGACATCAAGAAAGCTCAGCCGGTCGCCTTCTTTATCCTCCAGCGTAAAAAGTGTGTTCGAGGAGACGGTGTTGAGACGCACTTTGAATGTCAGTGTCTGATCGCTATCGATGACGAGGGTGTAAACCACACAGTGAGCCCAGAATTTCGGTCTATGGTGTTGGAAGACCAATGATTCCAGACGTTGCAGGACCATCTCAGCTATGAGTCCCCTAATCGGCAATCCCATCGGTGTGCCTTTCATCTGCTCATAGATTGTTCTGTCGAATGTAGAGTACTTCAGAATCGGAAGGTGATGAAATTGAAGCAACCAGCAGCTCGAATGCCGACCATCAAGCCAGTACCATGTCTAGGGCAATCGTCCTCGATGAAGGGGGGAGAGGGAGGACGTCGATTTTCAAAGGTATGCGGCAGCGTAACGACTGGCACTCCGAGACCAAAACCCTGGACGGCTCGAAATTTCGTGGTTATTTCTGAATCCTGCGTAGTAAGACACAGGTTGTAATTCGTCGTACGGACGATGCACACGCTTTGGCTCTCAGAACCTCACAGGAATTTTTCTGGCATCTAACCAACCCACTGGTCAAAGTGCTGCGCTTTACTGACAGTGAACGCAGACTGTTCACTGTGCAAATTTACGGCCTTGCTTTGGGATCGACAGAGGTTATCGATACCCAACTGAAGTACGCAACCTTGACGGAAAATCATAGATCGCATGCAGCATCGATCTATAGTTCCCGAGTCATAATAAAATCACCCATCCACCGTCGCCCAGCTAGATCATATTTGACATCCAACCCTGTAGACCCTCAATTTTCGACACATTCTATCCCTGCTGGAAAAGTGGCCTGCTTTGGAGGCATTTTCTGCACCGTTCCCTTCTAATATTCATCTTGTTCTGGAGCCAGGGAACCTGAGCTTGTCATAATTAATCATTCAACTAGCATCCGGCAGCCCCTAGCGGTAGAACAGGACAGTCCCCACCACCAGGGGATAGCAAAAAATGCTTTGTATATAGTGGTAGCTCCGCGGCAGTCCGTAGTTGCCGGCACGTTCACGTGCGTCGGCCGACAGGCACTCGATCATCCTGTCCGTTGGTGCTCCCTGTTGTATTCCCTGTGCATTCTGTCATCAACGCCTCTGCTACGGTATATTTCACCACCCGTGCATTAAGCACGGTTGTGATCTGGCCGGAAGAAAGGCACAGCTTCAAAGGCAACAAACTGCGACAAGCTAGTGTTATTGCGTCAGTGCCACCAACCGCTGTGATCCTGCCACACGCGCAATCCTCCTCCGGGTCCCCATCCCTCCCTCCATCTGTCCCTACGACGCACACACACGCACGCACACGCAATCGTCTTCTGGTATGCGCTCGCACACGAGCAAGATCTGACTGAAGCGCGCGTTTGGCGCGCTGTCCTTTCCTGCTTTCGCTCCCAAGCCACCCGGTGCAGGCACACGCGCGCATGCGATCATGCCCTCCGTGCGCTGATTGGCTCTCTACAACAGCACCATAATCTGCAACGTCATTGGTCGGGACGTGAATGCATTGCGGCGGCGGCGGCGGCGGCGGCAGCGGTAGCAGGGAGCTTTCAGACACAAGTCATAAATCATGCAAGTTCTTTCCGTTCTCTCATGCAAGTTTGAATGACGTGAACAACGTGAACACCCACCCCACCCCAGCCCAACAACGAAAACTGGGCGGTTGTGTGCCGTTGTAAAAATCAAACGGTCCAGGCGGCGACTGACGCAGTCAAGGCGGTGTAGGCACGCATACGCGCACAAGAACGTCAAAATTGAAGCTTGCGCATAGCAATCTCTCGCCTACCCTACCCCACCACCTCTGCCCCTTCTTCCCGTCCAACCGCTCCCCCTTGTTGCCCCCATCTCTCTCTCGCGCGCGCGCGCGCCCTTGTGTGCATTCGTGTGACGGGTTTGTATGTGTGTGGTGACCATCTCCTGAAACCCCACGTCCAGGCAGCCCGTTCGGCGGCCGCCGTTATTTTAGAAGGCGCAGGATACTCCGAGGCATTCATGAATCACAGCCGACGGGCTGCAGTAGCCGCCATGTGGAGGGGCAGTTAACGGCCGTCGTCCGCGGGTGAGAGCTACGCTACCAAATTGATGACCCTTCACTCTGGCATCTGTTTGTCTGTGCCGCCAACGACGACGACGACGACGCCGACACCGCGCCGCCTGTGTCGTGTCGGCTGCAGTCACGCTGCCCCTAGCCCCCACTTCCTACGGCAAACAGCGCGTACCCACACATCACACACTCACGCACGCACACACACACACACGCGTCGCGCCGGTGGTTGCCGTCAGGTCAGCACACTTCAGGCGTAGATAAATCGTCTGTAAAAATACCGGCGGCATGTTAAATAATTAGTCGAACAGCACAAACGACTAGGTTCATCACTGAACCACGAGGGGAATGTAGAAGTGACTTGCGAGTGAGTTTTTTTAAACTAGTTAAATAGACTTCCGACGCGCCCGCTTCACTTGCTCCCCCAATCCTCATTATGGCCCAATGGCAAGACAGAGTCAAGGCTACTGGGTTCTGTAACTGATAAAGCGAAGTCATGTTACACATAGATCCTGCGCGATGTTGACTTTAGAAGACGTGACCTCAGAGCTCGCATCGAGAGGATGCAATAAGGCCGCATTTAGAGGGAGACATTGTATCCAAACTCTTCTTCCATTTACCCAACTAGACGAAGGCACCATAAAAAGCGCAATGGGCCGTAATCACGCTATGATAGGATCCGCAAGGTTCCTAAAAAAGGCAATTTATTCATGCACACGCCACCAGAGTTCAACCGTGCAAGCGATGTGGGCAACTCTCGTCCCGCCACTTAAACCCACCAAGGATAACTTGTATAAGAATTTTTTAAAAACTAAACGAATATGCATTACATTTACTTCACCAGATTCTACCCCGACCGTTAGGTTCCGGTGAAAAAAAGGTCAGGAGGGCAGGACATGGCTTTGGCCGCAGCTGCACGCGAGACACACACACACACACACACTCACGACAGTTTCGATGATGTCCACCGTGTGCCCCACAGACTGCATTGTGGGAGCAGGGACGGTGACTTACGCAGGGGTTTATAGTGCCAGTAGACTTGCGCTGCATCTACCTACACTCTCTCCTCCTTCCCCGCCTGAGCCCGGTGTCAAGACCAAGTCAAGAAGACCGGAGACGGGGGAGGCCGCAGATGGATGGCTCGGACGGATCCTCACCTTGGCGTTCCATCACACCCTCTGGTCAACACAACAAATAACCAGGATTTTCACTAACACAACATATTTGTAGGCCGGCACGACCGAAGCCGCATCTGGGCGTGCCGCCGACGCCTGGCTCGGATCCCACACTGTGGTGAGAGTGCCATAAAGGCCACATTAAAAAGGAGCCATTGCAGCCTGACTCTCAGACCACCACCAGTCAAGGAGGAGGTCCAAGTTACCCCGTCAGTTGGCAACGTTTCAAGCCACGGCTTTTAGCGCACCGTGTTAGCTTCAAGCGCGTCAGATTGCTTATAGTGAGGAAAATGCGCCGAGTCGTCGACCTCACTCTCCCTTCCCATCCCCAAACCCCAGTCGCTGTCCGAGCCGGTCAGCAGACTGGAGTTGGAAATGGGCGCGGTGGCTGGCACGGTCGACTGACCATGCCGGCGTGCGTCACAGCACGACCTGGCCCCCCATACACACAAACACCAGGATTTCACACAACGGGGTTGAACGGTGTGTCTCTCACTTGCGTGAGAGGGCCGTAGAAGGTGCTGCTTCAGCCCATCCCCAGCCCACCAGTCCGCCACTCCACACAGCACACACACAACGCGACGAACTGCTTGGACCGAGTGGGGCTTCAATCAGCAACCTTCCTATCCACGAAGTTTGACGTGTCGGGATAGACTCGGGCTCAAGTCACCCGTGCAGCCGAAGCCGCATGGGGACCGAGTCGAGATGCACATTTCCCACTTGCGTGGAAGGTGGCAGTTGGGTGCTTGCGGTGGGTGAGTGTTGATGTATGGGGGCTATGGTGGTGGAGGAAGGTAGGGAGTGTGTGGATGTGTGGTGTAACCGGCGGCTGTCTACCGCAGGTCGTCGTGGATGCGCATGTGACCGAATAGGCCCATGCGGTGCCTGAAGGTGCGAGGACAGTGTGGGCAGTTGAGTCGAGCTTGGTGGGTATAGGTTGGTGCTCCATGCACTGGTTCTCCTGTCCCTGTGCGATGGATTCGCAAGTGACCGACCAGGCCGATGCGTGAGGTGAATGTGCGTGGACAGTGTGGGCAGGTGAATTTGGTGGTGTCGGTATCAGTTGCGGGCAGGGCGGTGGGGACGCAGCGTGATGGAGTGGGGGTGGGGTGGTGCGTGGTGGATGAGTCGGTACTGCGGTCAGTTCCGCTCTCGTAGATGCGCATGTGGCCGAATAGACTCATGGGATGCGTGAAGATGCGAGGGCAGTGTGGGCAGTGGAGGCGAGTGCGGTGGGTGTAGGTTGGTGCTCCAGACACTGGGTCTCCAGTCTCTGTGCGATGAATTCGCAAGTGACCGACCAGACCACTGTGTGAGGTGAAGGTGCGGTCGCAGTGAGGGCAGGTGTAGTCCTGATCCTCATGGCTGGAGTCGAAGGCAGTGGGTGCGGTGTCGGTTGTTGCGTGAGTGACAGTCGCCTGAGCGGCCGTCGCAAGGGCAGTGGTGGTGGTGGTGGTGGAGGAGGAGGAGGAGGAGGAGGAGGATGATGAGGATGATGATGATGATGATGAGGAGGAGGAGGAGGAGGAGGAGGAGGAGGAGGATGATGATGATGATGATGATGATGATGATGATGATGATGATGATGATGATGATGATGATGATGATGATGATGATGATGGAAGTGGTGGTTCAGAAGAATTGTCAGGGTTAGTTAGCGGCAGAGAGGACGAGGAAGAGGCGGGCGGGGGGACGATGGTTGGTGCAGTTCGAGAGGCGCAGTTGATCTGAAGATGTCCAACAAGTCCGATTCGAGCCCGGAATGTCCGTTGACATCGAGTACACGTTGGAAGCGGTTGTGCGGCGGCGTTGCGTACTGGGCGAAGTTGTGACTTGCGGGCTTCGCGTTTCACTTTAGCGGCAGCGATGCAGTTGGCTTCGTAGATGGCAGCGCCCGTCTTCACTGCCCTCCTCCAGGTCAGTCGACCGTGTGCGAGTTCTTCCCATTTGGTCGGGTTGATTTGCAGACGCTTCAGGGAGGACTTCAGAGTGTCCTTGTAACGACGAATTTGGCCTCCTTGGCGGCGAGAACCCGTCGCGACGTCTCCGTAGAAGAGTCGTTTGGGTAGTCGCTCTTCGTCCATGCGCACCAGGTGGCCACACCAGCGCAGCTGCACTTGTCTCAACATGGTGTAGATGCTGAGGATTCCCGTCCGTTCCAGCACGTCAGTGTCGGGGATTCGATCCTGCCAGTTCAGCCTCAGGATGCGACGAAGACAACTGAGGTGGAAGTGTTTCAGACTGCGTGCCTGCTTTGCGTACACCGTCCATTTCTCCGCTCCATACAGTAGTGTCGGCAGGATGACGGCCTTGTACATCTTCAGCTTCGTGCTCATTTGAAGACCGTGACGATTCCAAACTATGTTTTGGAGGCGACTGAAGGCTTGACTGGCTTTCGAGATCCTGCGAGCGACTTCGTCATCGATCTTGGTGTTGCGGGAGAGAGTACTGCCCAGGTACGGGAAGTTCTCCACCACATGCAGTTGGGTCCCATTCAGGCTGATTTGCGGCGGCGGGGTGGCGGTTGGTGCATCACCACCATCTTCTGCGTGTTAATGACCAGACCGAAGTTCTTGCAGGCGGCGGAGAACAGGTCCATGCTCCGTTGCATCTCCTCTTCCGAGGTGGTGTTCAGGGCGCAGTCGTCGGCGAAGAGGAGTTCGTGAACGGTGGTTGTGGATACGCGCGATTGGAAGTGCATCCGCCGTTGATTCAGGAGGTGACCGTCCGTCCTGTAGGCGATGCGGATACCGGGGCGTTCGTCGCGGTAGGCGTCCATCAGCATGGCAGAGAACATGAGACTGAGACAGCACCGTTGTCCGTGACTCGCGCCATCATACCGTCGTGCAGCTGATGCACCATCTGATTGAATCGCTCCGGACAGCCGAATTTCTGCATGATCTTCCACAGTCCTTCCCGATTCACCGTGTCGAAGGCTTTCGTCAGGTCCACGAAGGTAGAGTACAGGTGGGTCCGCATCTCCTGGCACTTCTCCTGAAGTTGGCGGGCTGCGAACAATCATATCCGTGGTCCCACGATGACGACGGAAGCCGCATTGGCTTTCCGGCTAAGACCCTGTTCCAGATGGTTGTTGAGGCGGTTGAGCAGGATGCGAGCGAAGATCTTCCCGGCGATGTTCAGTAGGGAGATGCCGCGGTGGTTGTCGCAGACTTGGCGATTCCCTTTTCGCTTGTATAGGTGCACGATAGTTGCGTTCTTGAAATCTTGCGGGACTTTACCTTGACGCCACATCTCCTGGAAGAGCGCAGTCAGGTGATCCATGAGTTGGGGACCTCCATGCTTGTAGACCTCAGCAGGGATTTCGTCCGATCCGGGTGCCTTCCCGCTGGAGAGTTGCTGCACGGCCTTGATGGTTTCCTGGAGAGATGGCGGGAGGTCGAGGTCCACGTTGGTCTCCACTTGCGGCAAGCGGGCGATGGCGGCGTAGGAGATGGCGGAGGGGCGGTTGAGGACGGCTCGGAAATGCTCGGCCCATCATTGTAGGATTTGCGTCTTCTCAGTCAGTAGAGTGCTACCGTCGGTGCTGAGGAGAGGGGCAGTACCCTTCGTCGACGGACCGTAGACAGCTTTGATTGCGGAGAAGAAGTTCTTCCATTCGTTGCGGTCCGCGTACCCTTGGATCTCCTCAGCTTTGCGAGCAGTCCAGGCGTCCTGCATTTCGCGCAGTCGTTCCTCAAGCTGGCGGCGACTGCGGTAGAAGGCAGCTTTGCTGTCCTCAGTGGGGTGATCTACGTAGGCTTTGTGTGGGCGGTTCTCATCGGCGAGCAGATTGCTGATGGCGGCGTCGTTGTCGTCGAACCAGTCCTGGCGTTGGCGGGGAGCGCGACCGAGGACGGCGATTGCCGTCGACTGGACCGTGTCTCGCAGTTGACACCAGCGGTTCTCCACGGAGGCGTTCTCGGCAGCGGCGGCGGCGTCGTCGGCGGCGGCAGAGATAGGAAGGTTGTCTAGCCGTTGAGCTAGCTCATTGCTGAAATGAAGATGGTGAGCGGGTAAAGACAACAAGGCAAAATTCAGCTTACCTGGGGATCGCTTACCTTGTGGTTTCCTGCGAGGCTGAAGGCAAATAAGCATTTTCGAGATGACGAGGCGATGGTCGGTCCACTCGTCAGCACCCGCGATCGCCTTCGTCACCAGCACGTCCCACTGGTCACGCCTTCGGACGAGGACATAGTCCAGCAGGTGTCACTGACGCGACCGAGGATGCCTCCAGATGGCCTTCTCTCGCTCCGGCAGACAGAAGAACGTGTTCGTCCGGATGAGGCGGACGTGTTTTTGTTATCGGTCCCTATTTTTTTGATGATGGGTTGCTTCACAAGACTGAAATCTTAGGCAGAATGTTATTACCGACAAAGGCAAGGGAGACTGGAATGGCCATTTCTGGCTTATCAACCGTCGCAGCCAGCCATACCCAAGCCCGAAGTGTGGAACACCCGAGGCTCGAACTCACGACCTGTTAGATGTCCACGCCTCTAACCACTGGGCCACGGGCCCGTTGCCCCGTCAGTTTCGATCGGGAATATACAATGGTAGGGGGCGCTCGCCGATCGTTCTTACGGAAATCTTAGGCAGATGCAAGACTGTTTCAGTGTATCAAAGTGCGGGCCCAGTGTGAACAGTGAAGACTGGATGACGGCTGTTGGCTGGGTCTCCAAGCACTGAATCTCCGGTGGCGCTGTGATGAATTCCTGAATGTTAGAATAGACCGATACTTGGTTAGAATGTGTGATCGTAGTGAGGTCTGGTTGATGCTGTCTGCATGTCCTGTTCTTCAACCCCGCGAGGGCGAACAGGAAATGGGCTGTGGAGGATGTCGAGATTGTTGTTGCTGCCGCTGCAGATGAGGACGATGATGATGATGATGATGATGATGATGGTGGTGGTGGTGGTGGTGGTGGTTATTATTATTATTATTATTATTATTATTAGTCTGACAGTTCGTTTTGGCTTTGAAGACGGCTGCTTCGGTTTTAATGCAGTACGCCACTCTAGCAGTCGCACGGCGATTGACACCAGCCATCGAGTAGTAGCACCGACAGAGTCAAGGGACAGTGGAGCTGACCATCAGCAACTAGCGTCAGGCTGGTAGTCTGAAGTTTTCAATTGAGGCCCTCGATCATTGAAAATGCGTAATCCAACTCAGGGGTCCAAGTCAAGACCTAAACTCATTCAGTGCTGGCGTCTGCCGATCAGTGCCGAAGGAACTCGGTACTCTCGACGTGTCTTGGAGTTCCGCCTGTAGATGCGGCTAGGGTAGCGGAGGAGGAGAGGGAAGAGGCGCAGAAGGAGGAGGAGGAGGGTGGGGGCAATGAGGAGGAAGAGGAGTGCAGCCTCGCGCAAAAGCGATGTTTCTCGGTCAAAGTACACTGTTTGCCACCAGTGCCCCTCCTCCCTTGTCAAATCAGCAGAAATCAAGTGACCGCCGTGTTGTTTAACATCCACTGTGCGACAATTAGAATCTAAGATGATGCATCTGCTTATTTATCAGTTTCCAGCAGGCCCGTCCTTCTGCAGACTTCCAGCCGAAATTTGCATCTGAATGCTGTTGATGCGAGATGAAGCTTGGTTCTGCCATGTCATATTCCAGCTATTCACGTGAGCGAATTTGATTTGAGGAGCCTTTGAAGTTTCAATGTTCTGGCACTACCAGTTGGAGGTAATTAAAAACATGCTCTGTCGAGTTCAAGTCGGAAGTTGTACCAAGCCAGGGACGCAATCTGATGTTGAGATTCTACGAAATCCTGATCCTCGCATGTTACCACTAGAAGACCGGTTCTGACAGATCTACTATTCCCGGGAAGGAATGCAATCAGAGCAACTTCTGTCAGACTGAAATTAACCCCCAGACCACAGTGTATCGAAATCGACAGGACAACGGGCCCGTGGCCCAGTTGTTATAGGCGTCGGACTTCTAACTAACAGGTCGCGAGTTCGAGCCCCAGGTGTGCCACACTTCGGGCTTGGGTATGACTGGCTGACGACGGCTAATAAGCCAGAAATGGCCATTCCAGTCTCCCTTATCTTTGTCGGTAATAACAATCTGCCTGTATCCCCCAGCGCGGCAACCACAACACCGCCTCCACTTTATTGTTCGATGGACTTCATGATGCCTGCGAGAC